TTGGAATTTTTTCATTTACATTTGTGGGGAATTTCCCCGGCGCTTGATTGTCGAGGATGCCAGGCATTCATTCCCCCCATTCCAACGACAGGCAGCCAAACACAAGATGTGTCGTCCTTGTGCCAGGCATTCTCATGCATATGTGAGAGTCATATTTCATTATTTCGACTCTACACTGAAAAAGAAACTGGGGTAGTTTTGGACTACAAGAAAAAAGTTATACTTTGAGATGTATATTTATGAATATCACACTTTTTAAGACTGAAAAATATAGTTTATCTAAATATTTACTAAGAAAATTTATGAAGAATCTTAACTTATTTAATGTTTAAAAAATTCTCTAATTTTTGTCTCTGTATTGGTCACTTCTGCTTGTCTGAGGCCCCGAAATTGAAGCCAAAAAATTATGCTCCAGCCTTGTTTCTTTTTCCACTCGCAAATCACATTTCCCATTATGTTGGTTTTGCCCAATTCAATTATCTGCATATTTCCCCACTTTTGAGAATTCAATTTGATTCGATTATCTACGAAGAAACCGCTTAAAGTCAAACTCTGACAGGCGATTGTTTGGCATTTTTTGCTTAACTAATTGAGTTGCTGATTAAAGCCATTCGCCAAGCGACTGGCAACTCAGCATGACATTCGAGCACCTGCGAAATGAAATTGGATAAAATTCGTAAGCCATTTGGGCAGCTATTTGGACTCAGAAATCCAGCTGGCTCAGACCCAAAAGCAGGCTTTGTATTTTATGTGTTTTCTGACTTTAATTTGCCTGATTTGCGCAAGGCTATGCAAATTCGGAGCATTAAATTATTGGCTGGACAATCGGTCTGCTTTTCCATCTAGAGCGACATAAATACCGTCAATTTATGTCAATTCGATTTGCTTCTCACACTCGCAACCCTCACGCACACATGCACACACAGTACACGAAGAGAAGCAGGACTAATGCCTTAATGCCTGCAGGATTCGTTGGCCATTTTGACGAGGCCTTTTGTGACCGGCACTTTTCCGCCACCGCCATTGCCCGCATCGATGCGTGCAAATTCAATCTGCGAGCCATGGTCACTGCAATTTGTGTTTTCTTTGGCTGTTTAGTTACAGTTTTTTATTGCCTCGATATTTGTTATATACTCGAAGCGATAAAATCGTTAGGAGCAGGACATTAGCTGTGCCAGGATGTGCCATGGCCTTTGCTTATTTTCTTGCGGTTTGATGGTGGGCGTAGTTTTACACTTGGGAGAATTTATATGTTATTTTGAAGAAGAATACGGGCTTGATTTTATTATAAAAATTTATAATGGTAAATTCAAATACATTTGTAATATTATAATAGAATTATTTATAATTTTCTAACGTTTAACTTGCTTTACCAAAACCCTCACTACTTTCCTCTCAGTGCAGTTTTTGCCGCCCATTGTGATTAGTTGGATTTTGGCTTCATGTTGTATTTATATATTTTTATTAGATTCGCAATTTCGAGAGGTGCTATTTGTAGCACGCCCACAAAGTGCGGCTGGTCATGCGGGAGGTGGGGATAACCGGGGAAAATTCTGCGGGAAACTAGACCCGCCGGATATTACCACGTGCCGCTTGGCTTAAAGTTTACTCTCGCTTTTCCCTTCTCGGTGAAAGTTTTTTATGGCTGGCAGCGAAATTGCAAAAGGCAGCCAAATGAACGTTGAGAGAGAGAGCATAAAAAGCGTCATTCAAATTAAGGACATTATTCCTTTGCCGACTCTCCATTTCCCCGCACTTTTGAGTCCAAAGTGCGAGTGTGTAACGCATTTAAATGGAAATGTCAGCGTTGCGGAAACGCGCAACGGTTTTAGCTTTTCCTTATTCCACCTGCCTTTTGAGAATTACTCTCCCAGTGTCTTTGCTATTTTTTGCGACTGCTTTAATTGTCTGCAGGATGTGTGTGTGTGCGTGTGTGTGCGATAATACGTTTTTTACATTTGGCACTTGGCTTTTATGCTTCTTATTTATGCATTTCATTCATTTATTTTTCATTTATTGTCTCGAGACATTTGCATTTTCAGTGCGAGTGCGTCACGTTTAGCCTTCTTTTGCATACTTTTGAGCTGGCACGCCAAATGTTAATCATACGCCGCGTTGTCTGCCGCAGAGCAGGAGCAGTAGCTCTAATTGAATTGCTTAGAATTGGCAGGTCAACGGCAGGCTGAGCTGAAAATTTAAATCCCGACGCGAAACGAGGCGCAAAAACACACCTGCTTTGATCTCGGCCGCCTGATGATGATGATGATGATGGTGGTGTTTTTCTGTTTTTCTTATCAATTGGCAGAGAATCAGGTCTGAATTCTGAAGGTTGTTGAGTGTCAGCAAATGTCAGAGGAAAATAAATTTGAACTCTTACCAAAAAACAACCAACTCTCCGGCGTCAACAGCGACGGCGTGAAATTTAATCAAATAAATTAGCAATAAAGTTTTATTTTCGCTGTCACCATCTCAGGCGCTCGGGTGTTACACGTTGCGTATACGTAATGCCGGAGTGTGTTTTTATTGGCAGTCAGCTGTTTTTTTTCGAGTTTTTTGAGCTTCACTTTTTATTTCAACTCACACTGGCCGCGTTTCAATTAACATTGTCAGTTTGATGCGACCCTTGGTTTGGAACTAAATTAAAATCCTGGAAAGGGGATTAAGCCGCATACAAACACACACACACGCACACGCACTCTACCTTCGGCACACACACACATGTCAAGCTGTCGAAATGTCCATTTAATAAGGCCAAAATGAAGGATGTGATAAGGGTGTAGGATTAGGGGGTTTTTAAGCTAGTGCCATGCCCCCAGCTCTAGCCTATTTATTTTTAAGCCTCTGCATGTCCCGTTCGGAATCCTTCTTTTGGGACTTTCCGCCAAAGGCAAAAGTTAATTGAATTTTTGTTTTTGTTTTACTTTTAGCTTGCCGAGTGCGTGACTCTCTCTCATAGTTGATGGAGACGTGCAAACATTAAACTGTTTTGGAAAACACTTTGAACTGTTGCAGGAACAACACATACACATAAACCATAAATGCGAACATAAATTGTGAGCCCCATAAACGATTTGAAGGCGCCAGAAGTTCTGCCAACGATTATCAATACAATTTGCCAGCCTGCCAGCGAACATTTATCATTCAGAAATATGGCCAGAAACTAAGCGACAGCTCCGGCCATTTTACATATTTATGCCAGCAAAATGCGAAATAACCAAAAACGAGTATTCAATAGCGGGGGAAGTGGCGCTTCGAACAAGTTTACCTTCATATTTGTTTCGCATACGTTTACAACTAAATAAATAAGCAACAAACAAACGGAGAACCACAAACTCGAATGCAAATACCAGTAAAAAATATACACACAAACGCACAGTTCGAGCTGGTATCCCGCAAAAGTATGCAGAAAAATTTTAAACTCATGACGCAGCCAATTTATATGCACGAAAAAAATATGTATATAAACCGAATTGTAACCAAACGAATGGTATCGCATCGACAATGAATTGAATACACCAAAATCCTCCTGTTACAAAAGATGGTATTTGTAAAAGTTATGGGATAGCTGATACCCTATCACAGGACAATTTTGAAGCTGTTTCCTTAAACTTTCTTTTCTTTACTTTACTTTAACTTTTTTTTATATTTATTTTATCAAAGATAAAATATTTATACGAGTTATCTCAGAGCAGGTACCTTATGAGTCCCCCTTGTTTGCTTTGTGTTTTATTTTCATCTCCACTCCATTCAATATTCAAGTTGATATTACCAAACGGCTGCTGGGCATCCTCGCATGGCGAGAACCCCAAAGAGTTTTAGCGAAATGAAAAATTGAAAAACGCGCTGCGAAATGCGATGATTTTGCGGTCGCCAGCTGAACTGATGCGTATCGGCGGCTTAGACTCTGGACACAAGGCGGCGGCAAAGGGCATAAATCATGGCGTATTTATCATAAATCAAATTGAATTCTCCTCAACAGGCCAACATTGCCAGCCTCCAGCCCCGCCTTCATTCCGATTGGAATTGCCGGTTTGCGGATTTTGAGGGTTCGCCCCGATGTGTTTGCTTGGCGCGCATATTTTATTTATGATTCTTTTCCAGTTGAGTTGCGAATTTGTGTTTGTCTCTATCTGACAGCACTTTCTGTATCGTTTCTGTATCGATTTCTGATTTTTCCCGATTTTTTGTTGTTTTTTTTGATCGGATCAATCATTGTTTCTTATATTTGTGAACTGGGGGTGGGAGTTTCAGAATGTAAAACAGGTTAAGCGACCTGACAGCCTATCGAAGACGACTGACATGGCATTATCAACTCGTTGACGGGCAAGCCAATGGAAACACGAGGAGCCAAGAAGTCTGAATGGTCAAAGTGATAAATGCCTGTGGAAATGGATTCAAGGGCCACTTTTCTTTGCCGTGACCATTTGCACAAATTACTCGACAATTTTACGTAGGCACTCTGAAAGCGAATATCTAGCAGTCATCATCTATTAGCTGAACAATAAATCCCCTTCAACATTTACCATTCGCACTGCTGGGCACCTCCTCTTCAAAGGGTCAATGATATGTAAAGGTCAAAATCATTCAAGATATTGGATTACAAGGGAAAAGAATGAATATATAATATTATACGTGAGAGAATACATATATTTTTCTTTAAAGGGGGAATATATATTCAATAAACTGCCACATATGTAACATTATTAGCGTTTATAAGCTATTTTTTATGTATACCTGAAGAACGCAAAATGAAATACAAATCAGCAGGAAAAACCAATTCAACTTGAAACACATCTTTATTTATTAAACGTATGACTACAACTGTTGTATTTCCACATATGCTGATGCTATATTCCTTACTAATGAGTTCCATTTAGCTTTATCTGGAATTTATAATCTCAATTGAGCAATTAAATGTCTGCTTATTGAAATGCTTTTTTCTGTATTTATGGGTTGTACAATTTAATTTTGTTTGACACGCCAAAAACTCTTGATTTATTAAATTTTTCATTATCGAACTTGAAGCTCACAATTTAAGAAATAGTACCATAGAAACCCACATAGGCCCGTCGAATGTCATAAGCAAACCAGTAGGTCTCCACAAGATATTCGCCTTCGGGAAACGGCAGAACATGCGTTAACTGATGATTTATATATCCGATTGGCAACTTGTCAATGATGACATCATGCTGAAAATTCCCAATTTACAGTAACAAAAATATAGATCAATCGTAAGCGAACTTACATCGTAAGGACATGTGTGATTTAAATTGGAGTGCGATTTTAGAATATTGTAAAAGAACTCAGCGGTAGGATGGGAACTGGTATTTCTGAGGAAACGGCAAGAATCAACTGTGATATTGTACAAAAAAGGTCTATAGCCATTGACTCGTTTGGAAATCGAAAAGTTCATCTAAAATTAAAAATTTGCTTTGTATTATTTGCATTTGATAATAATTTTTGATTAATAATCAAACCTTGATTTTAGTGACATTCCTTTGAAATATATTTCCTCTTACAGAGACGTATTTGTAAGTTCGATTTATAGGTTTTATAAAGCAATATTCCATGGCGACAAAGCTTGGATCAAGGTATTTGCACTTGACGTTTGTAAATTCAAATTTGCTTGTGATCTGCAATAAAAAGATATTATGTATTTTTTTTAAATTAAAGTGTTTGTTTTACCGGAAGAAAGTAAAGAGAAAAGCCAATAAGTAAAACCAAACAATTCATCCTTAAACACATCTTCAGGCATTGAGCAACCAACTAAAACTGATACTTTATTTATTCAAACGATAATTTGTTTTGTGAAGTCATTTATTTAATTGTTGTATTCCGTTGACAATTATTTGGGATTTGGTATCAGAATTGACCAATTAAATATTTATTTATTTAAGTTTATTTTGTCTGTATTTAAAGTAATTCTTAATGCTTAAAAATAGACTTTCTTGTACATATAGTGATTAATTATGTTTAAAATTAGTTCAAAAAAGTATTAATTGAAGCTTAGTAAAGCGAATATCGTGCTTAAAAAAAATCTTTTTTAATTTTTTGTCATTATTCAGCTAAAATCCTCTTGTTATTTATTCATTTTATAATCATTTGTTGGATTATTATTTAACTAAATTGACCAATCGTCTCTCCATTCTATATTTATCTCTGGTTATCTTATAAATATATCTTGCCAATATTTTTTCCGCACAGTTCACTCTTTAATTTCTTTTCAATTTGTGCAGCTGGTCGAACACTTTGCTTTCGTTTGGTCAGTTCACTTTTCCGCTTTTTATTGGTAATTGCTTCGTTGGGGTATATAAGGCTACCAGCAATAGTTGATTCTTCAGAAGGGGTAGGATGATGGTATGAACTATTCGAGCCAAGAAAAGTAGCAGCTACTATTTGGATTTGTGGCACTTTTATCGAACACGGACCTGCATTAAAAAAACATATTTTATCGCACTGTGGCTGGCTGCCACCGTGTTCGCTGTAGTTGGTGAAAATAAACAACTATTTTCATTTTGTTCTATCCCTTTTTTGAACAGCGGCCGGGCCATTGTTGTTTCTGAGTAATATTTCTGATCGCTGGTCTGTTTAATGAATTTTTGTATTTAATGAATGAACAACATTTTTCTTGTTGCTTCCTCCTGTGTGTGTGCCCTGCCTCTGTATTTTTTTTGTCTGCTGAGTTCTGTTTTGTTCTGTGCTCTCCTCGTATATGAATTTTTATTCGCTTCTGTTTGCCAATTGATTGGAAATATTTCTTTTCATGTTTTTCAATTTGAAAAACCAGAAAACAAGAGTGCCCAGTGGTGGGGAAAAGAAAAACAAAGAGGGGATGCAGCTGGCGACTTCCTCAAACGAAACGCAATCCCCTCCCGATCTGGTATCTCGGCGGCAAAGTGCTTTTGAGCGATGGCATATGAGTTCCCAGGTTCGTTCCCCCGTTTTTTGTTTAGACAATAATAATTTTTGCCATTTTATTTCGGTGAGCTGGGGGCGCTCTCGACTCGATTTATGTTCCTCGGCTGCCTGACAGCTAATGTTAGCTTATAAAGCTTTAATTTATTTTGTTTTGATTACTGCGTTATTATCATGTACATAAACATGTTGCCGGACTATTGGCTTTTCTCTTATGATGATTGCTCGAGTGGAACATTCTGAGATTTACTCAGTGGCCAAAAATTATGGATCTGCAATTGTTATTGCAATATAAAATGATAACTGGTCGGGCTTACATTATATTGCTTGACTTAGACTTCATGTAGAGGGTTTATATGATTCTGTCTTGCTTACAGTAATCTGTTATTTGGTCTGCTTAACAGTCTGCGCTGGTTTCTCTCCTTGTCAGGGTACTTCCCCTATCTGTCCTCTGTTAGGCATATCAGCTTGGGCGCCATTTTTAAAATTTCTCAGCAGTAGACAACAGGTGAATTGAGATAAGATGTACTACAAATAAGTAAAATAAAATAAAATAAAATAAAATAAAATAAAATGCATAAAGTAACAGCTATGTTTACCATAAATACTCGTTTAATAATGCCAGATTTCAGTGCTTGAACGTTGTGTTATTTGCTTACTTAATTGCAGGCATTTGAGTATAAAAAAGTTCTTATTTACATACACAGAATAAACGTTTGCCATTATATTCACAATGTTTTCCGAAGCTGAAAGCTTCTGTATAAACAGTGAGTTAATTATTCGCAGCAAGTGCATTTTGCAAATAGCAAACATCAACTGAGTCAGTTATTATCTGTATTTCCTGAACAAAGGAATATTGCCTGACTGCTGAATATATTTTGCGGGTGTTTTGTTAAGTTATTTAAAAATATATAATATTATTAGTACTTTATAAATATAATAAATAATATTTATTAAATATTATTGAATGACTTTCACTTGTAAAAATTTAGAAACCTTTTTATTTCTTTTTTTAAATTAATTTAATTTAATTTAAGCATTAATTTTTTTCTCTGTCTATTATTATTTAGTAACTAACAAACGATAAGTCCGACATGACAAATATTTAACTATTACTAGTTGTAGTAGAGCTAATATTTGTTAGCTGTCACGCCTGGTATTACAGTACTTGACTTTTCCCCGCCAGCTTGTGTTTCATTTTCCCAACGGTTCGCCGGTCTCGCATGCGAGTTTTTCCTCTTAACATTTTCCTGCATGGGATTTTCCCCAGTAAGAATTTCACTAGCAGTAACAGAGCGCCATGTTCTGCTCTCTCTCTCTCTCTCGGGGAACTTGCTGAATTTCCCCAATTTGCAGAGAGAGAGAGCTGTCCGAGAGACCCACTGACACAGTGATAAAGCTGGGCCGGCTGATAACAGAGAGCTGTTATGGCTCCACACACAGGTACGAGGTACTACTAGGTCCGAGCTCCACGAGCACTCTCTCTCTTCGGGGATTCTCAGTCGGATTCGGAGGTCGGTCGGCAGGTCGGCGGTTCAGTTGCGTTTCCAGTCCATATTTCACCGTGCTGCGAACAGGCGGACGGACGGGGTCTCCAATTCAGTCGTCGGGCCGCCGCAGTTTCAACGCGCTCGGATTCAGATTCAGATTGAGATTCACACTCAGATTCACATTCGGAACTCGCCAGCCTCCCGCAAATATTTAAAATAATTAAAATTCTATTAAAAAAAAAAAATAGGAAAATAATATCCAAAGTTCCAGTTTGAGTGTGCGTGGCTAAAATAAATAAATAGTGCAAATATTTTAAGGAATTACTCAAATGAAAATACCAGCAGCAAGAAGCAAAAATTAATGCTTGTGCCACTTGAATGAAAAATTCAATGCCATTAGTGTGTGCAAAACAAAAATCTATGTATATATGTTAGCAAATATCCGAAAATATTTGCAGATAGCCATTTGAATGGAAAAGTGCTCGAGAGTAAATAGGCCGAAAGTCGAAACATATCCACCGACCGAAAATCGAAAATCTTGGACAAACTTGTGCAGTTTTCGTTTTCCCAACGCTTACCGAGTGCTATTATTAAAGTAATTTGTGCGACACTTGCCACCTGTTCGACAACTTTTGGAAAATACACACACAGCCACACACAATTTATGCAAACGACTTCGAGAAGAAAGCCGATCCGATCCCCAAAAACCGAAAGTGAGAGTGTCAAGAGGAGTCGTTGACCCAGCGTGTAAGTCTTTGGACCCATATTATATTCTGGACTGTTTACCTTACACTCACCCCCCTCTGTGGCAGACTTCACCCACGAATTTAACACCTTAACACTGCGGATCTGTGTTATCGCCCAGTGTTTGTCCGGGATTTAAATATAGATTTATGGCAGGCAAACATTAATTGGATTACTCGTACAATCTTGGGGCATTGTGGATGAAGATTGACCTAGACCAAGGGGAAATAAATAGTTGAGAAGAGAATTTATTTCGAGATATAGTAAGAGGTCTATCACAAAGATTAGGTGTGAAAAAATGAAAGTAATTTGTTTAACCAACCTTTTTTTACATTTGATAAGCTAAATTGCCACAGTTGACATGGGTTAACTATTATCGGTGACTCTTTAATAAATGCAAAACATATATTTATAAATTGTAGTTACACTGATCAAACAAAACACCGTTTCCAACTCAAGTGTAGTTTGTTTTGACTTTGTTTATTTAGAAATGTTGCGCCATTCCCCTTTTGTTTTTTCCATCTTTTTGAAGAGCCCTCGTCAGAGGTGCTTGAGAACTGTAAAAGCTCTCAGAGCCGATTAAGTAGCTACTGATATGCACAAAACACTTTTGGCCGGGGGCATGGCTAATCAAATTACAAAGTCATATACCGCTTGATTTAATAACTCGACACGGTTAGGGTATTTCCCGGCATCTGCCATGCCCCAGATGCTACCGTTTTCAGTGCTGCTGCTGCTGCCGGGCAAATGCAGCAGTTTTATCTTTAAAGTTCGGCCAAATTACCTCCAAGGGAGGCGCGCACAGATGTGCACCCAACGTGCGGGTGCGGCTTTTGTGTATAAATTTACACTTAACTGCAAAACAACAGGCTTAATTGCCCGAAACCAAATAAAACTCAGCATGCCAGTGGATTTGGCCGGCTGTTCCCAGGAAGAGGCTGTGTCAGGGGCACAGCTTTGGTGGACTTATTTGGATACTGAGTAAACGAGGGTATTTTGAACTTTAGAATAGATCAGATGTCTAAATTAAGCTACATTTAAATATCTTCTTTTTCAAAAAATTCATTATTTACTCGACTTTTTCTTTAATAACTATTTTGTAATTATTTTTCGAAATTCCAAGTTTTCTTACACAATTACCTTTTATAAATAAAATTATTTCCAACCTGTAAGAGCACCTAAAAATAAACTAATCTCAAATGTACTGGGTACCTTCCGGTCGAAAAAAACTTGGACGAACCACTTGTAATTGTTTGAAATTATTCCATGGCAATTGCAGCAACTGCCGCTCGCATCCTTGAACATGAAAAGTGAGAGTGCTGCCAAAAAGACCGCTAAGACGGGACAATTCATGTGGGCACTTACACTAATTACAACGCCGCACCGCTCGTCATTTAAAGCGCTGCCAAAATGGCACTGAGTCACGGCCATGTGTTCCGCACGTGTGTGCTTTAAGAATTACGGCGGAGACGCCTTAACAACAATATGTATTCTATACGAGGCTGACACAGTTTTCCAACTGCCATTGCTGCTCCTGCTGCTCTTTCATCTATTGTAAATTGACTCTCGGCAGTGTGGCAAAAGAATGGAAACAGATACGGACAATGGGTCGTATGCGTAATACGCTTGACAGTTTTCCGTCTCCGTTTGTCTCTCTCTGCCACACAGAAAGAAAATGACTCTAAAAGAAATTTAATATTTAATTAAAAAGGAGCTTCTTTGATGTGTTGTTATTCATTTTATGAGTTGAGAGTTTGAAATAGAAGAAAAACTCAAGAGATTTGGATTGGGATTTTCTTTTAGTAACTGATTGTTATGTTTTTATTTTGGTAAATTTCTTACATTTAGGATTTAGTGCCATTTAACTTTTTTCTGTGCAGGACATGCTAGTGAGCTGCATTGTTTGTGAGATATTTTGCTCACACTTTAGGATTGCTGCGGCATTGGAATGAACAAACGGAACGCTCAAATCAAAGGCGACAACCCGCAACAATGGAGCTGAAAATGCCAGCAGGCATCGCGGAAATATAAAGTAAACTATTGTTTCACCAGATTGCGTCAGTGTCTGTGCTATGTTTTTGTGTTGGCTTCCTTGATTCTCTACAAAACATTGCGCATACGCCGCGTAACCGCCGCTCACCTCTGCGACAAGGCGCTGTAAGCGCTAATAAGCTTTTAATTAATTAATAATTAATCACTACGTGGAGACTAGCTCATCATCGCTGCTAGGCGGCCGAGAGGTCAGTGGGTTTGTCATTTTGCCATTGTCTGGAAGCGAGCCCCTTATCATAATGGCCGAAAAGTTCTAATCGAGGCAATTAACGTGGCCAAATTTAATTTCCGTCCCCGTCGCTATCAGGCACAAAACAGAAAAAAATATAAGAAGAACAAAAAAAGAAGACGGAGCGGAGCGCTAGCTTTTTATTTACAAAATATTAGTTAATGCCCGCCATTGGGAAATCCATCATGTAAGCCTGGGATTTCTCGGTTGCATGTGTTTCTGTTTGTTCCTCGCTTCACTGTTTGTTTGCTCTAGGGATGAACGTGCTTTGAGGGGGAAAATACTTTTATAAATATCGATAAATTATAATTATAAATAATTATTTAGCTTTTGAATAATGTAATTTGTGGAAAGCAGCTGTAGAAATGGAATCGTGATATTATATTTTATTAGTTTTCTAATTTAATCTAAGATCATTCAAACGAAGTTTTCCAACAATTACTGTTAATACTTTTTATCGAATTAGTTTCTTTATATTGGGACTATCGCTACCTGGTGCCATCCCTAATCTGTCTATTCCTCTATTTGCTTGCCTCTCTCCCCCATTCTTCAGGCCAGATAAACGAGCCCAGCTCCCCAGGTAACTTTTTGGGGGGTAGATTGAGGAGTTTCGGGCCCTTGCCTTTGACTGGCCATTAAGCAAATTACTTATGTTAATTAGTTGCCACGGCTAATGAGATATCGCAAGGATTTGCAGTCCGTGATAAGTCAAATTTAAAGCAAAGTCGGGGCAAAAGAGAGCCTTTCCCTGATTATCCACCTTCCGCTTCAATTTAGCCCTGTTGATTTATGATGCGGAATTTAGCCAAAGCACAATCTCAACTTGAAAGCAATATACAAGCGCTCCGGGCTTTGCCATACAATGGGAATTCAATTTCCCTCCTTTACTCCCTTTGCTCTCTGTGAGCCCTTGATTCATCAAATTGCATTTATTTGCCAGTTGAGTGAACTGCAACAATACGGAGATGCAACAGTTTGCTGAAATGCAAGAAATGCATTCTGAAAATTACATAAATAAATAATACCGAGCAATAATTGAAAGGCAAGCTAAATCCTTAAGGGAGCGAATCATTTAAATTCTCATTTGAAGAGGGCAGGCAATTTCAATTTCAATTTGCATTGAACTGTAATTGGTCTAGGAGTAACTCACATAAATTCCTGGCTTGTTGCCCTAGGTTTACACAGTACCATTAGCCATGAAAATCCTTTACATAATAATATCAATTTGTCCCATCTCATTTGCGTTTAATCGTTGGCCCTTATTAAAATCCCTTTAAATCAATTTAATCTCAGGCAGATGTTTGCATTAAAATTAAAACCCATTGATAGATTTGTTAGCCTTAAGCCGTAAAATAATTAAAAACATAATTAGCTTCGTGCAATTCCTTTTCATTGATGTATTCAAAATGCCTGCAGCCTGCAGGATCGAAGGAAGGGTTTCAGGTCAGTGCGTCGGTTGGGAATAATTTCATTAAAATCAACTTTGGTTGCACACGCCTGCGGTCGGTGGACAGAAGATTAATTACTGCCTTTATTTTGACTGGACTCTGGTGGAACGCTACACCGCCGACTGGACTCTATAATTCTGTATTGACACATAATCAATAGCCAGTGCAGTCTGCTGCAAAAAAAACTAATTAAGCCATCGTGAATGCGAAAAAAATGAATTCAAATTGCAGCGTTAATAGTAATAATAAACGCCATTAACTCCAGTGCACAATATATCTTAATTTTGGGCATAATTAATGCCTGCAATTATGTTGAGTTTCGTTGGATGTCGCTGCCTTTTTGTTCGTGCCCCCACCTTGGCACAGACTCACATGCGACTACATATATATACACCCCGCACAAGGAGACGTAAACAATCCACTTAACATGCTGGGAAATACCATTTGATCCTGCCATCCATCTCCTGGGCGTTGCGTATACGCAGCGTGGGCCGCACATAGCCTTTGGCAACAGTGTGTCACGCACATTATTGATAGGCCGACTCAATCGCCTCGGCTTCAGTTACCCAGGTCTCGATTACAGCTCCCAGGCTCCAGTCAACGGACAGCGTGGCCCGGATTCTGGGTTCTCGTAGCATCTGGGCAATTACGGCTCGGCGGTCTCTGTTTATTAAAACGACATAATTGCGAATTGAGGCCCGGAGCTCTTCGCTGCCTTGACTGCTTCAATCAACTGGATCATCAGCGGTTTGCTGCTGTTGGCACTCTTATCGTTAACCATCAGCTACATACTTTCCCTTTTGTAAAACTTTTCCCCAGGAATTGACCGGGGAAAATTTGCATAAGAAGCAAAGAACTTTGGCCTCGCCGGGAAGTATATTTATATTGTAGGTTTGTTGTTTGCACGCCCCCCGCTCTCTTCAATTATGATTAATGACCTGTAATTAAAGCCATGAAAGCGACCTTTGCCGGATACACAAATTGATTAGAGATGGACACGTGAGTGGCGGCCGAGATTAGAAGCTCGTTGAAAGTTCACTAGTCAACATGATATTCAACTATGATTGAAGCCACTTTGAGTGGAGTGGAAAATGAGATAAAATTTCAGATTAATTTATAATAGCTTTATTTGAAGTAACAGTTTGAGACTTTCATATAGAGTCTATCGAGATCCAAAGCCAACATTACATTATTTGAATACTTTTACTGTTTTACTTGATATTCCATCAGGACACACAACGACCTAGCCTCTGGCTGTCACATCTCCAGACACATTATCTTTTATTAGCCAAATTGTACACACTTGAGCGGAGAACCGAACTGAGCCCGTGACGCCACAAAAGTCATTCAGCATAAATCAGGGCAGAGTCCTCCACCGATGCTCAAGTGTTTTGGCTTTTCATTAATTAAATTGCCAGTTGGTCGGAGCTTCGGGCTCCAGTTCCCGTTGTAGACAACCTTTCTGGACCGTCCGGATTGTTTATGTTTTGATTAGCGCCAAGAGCCGAAAACCGAAAACATATTTGGGTTAAGTGCAGGCTCTCAAGTCCTTCCTCAGGACTCAAGTGGGGCCTTGTTTTCCCGTCTCGGGGGTGCATTACGTATTGTATTATGTGCGACCTGGCAATTATGTTGCTCCCGCCCCCGCAAACCCATTAATCACGAATGTCTGAAAGTCTGGCAAGACAGCCGCGAGCTACGCCCACTGTACTTTGATGGCTAATTGCAAACATGGCAGGCGGTTCCGGCCGGAACACGTAAACCTAATTGTAGACGTCTTGCACTACCTGATTTTGATTGTCTGTTAGCCAAACTCGATTGCAAAGAGTGCGCTCCGTGTGCTAATTGAATTGTAATCAACTTTGGCCTGCAATTAAACTGAGAGCTGCCAGTTTAAATATGCTTGCAAAGTTTTTTGCTGAAAGCCATTTCAATTCCAAGAATAGTTACACGACTAACGTGATGAGTAATTACACAGAGGAACTAATGCATTTAGTAAGTTTCGAAGAGGCTTAAGTAGTTTTTTTTTAATAACTTATTTATAAGTTATGCATTTTGCTTTCAAATATAATCATTAGAAGTAATTAGAACAGACTATAGTATATATAGTTTTCAACCCAAGGTGATTTTAATAGCTTCTAATATGCGCTTATATCTACCACTGATGTTGCCAGCAATATTTATTTGTTCAATAATATTAAAAACTGTGCATTACAAACTCTGGATAGTAAACAAGGAGGTAATCAAGCGCTGCAGCAATTAAAAGCTTTGCTCTTCCAGCTCGACCACTTGTGCACACAAACTGCAGAGCAACTCCCGTTACGTTTATGCCATAATCATCGAGATGAGATGGGTCAGAATGGGTGCGATATTGCAGCTGTGGCTGCTGAATTGTGGAATTGTGGGAATGGCAATGGGAAAATGAGAAAATGGTAGCCGTAGAATGCGAGTGCCAGCTGCAAGATATCCCAAAACAATGCGATTAAGCACATTACCATTCCGCTTGGCGCACTGGGCGTATGCGTAATCCGCACTAATGCAACGCCAAACTAATTGGTTCAGTTAATTAATGGCAAGGGGCAAGCAGAATGAAGAGTGCATTGATCAGCAGATGTCAAAGAGAGACTTTTCAGAGAGTTTTTTTATAAGTCTATTTAGTAAAGAGCAGAAAATAATAATTATCCTTGATGTTTTCAGTCTTTAAAGTAAACTATTAAATACAGTAAATATTACTAAGTTATCTAATATTATTTTTGTGTCAGCTCGACTGCATTTAGCCTGGAGAAGTCACCTGTTTGTCATCTCTGCATGACTAACGCCTCTATCTACGCTGACCGTCCGGCCAAAAATAAACACCCCCGCTCACACATGGTGCTGTGTAAATAAATTAAATTCAAATCTAAATTGATATAAACTATGCTCATTGGGGCTAAACAGAAAAAAAGGGGGAAAAATATAAAAGAAGGCCCGTGCTTATCGCTACCCCCCCCAAAAAAAAAAGAGCATAACCAACAAAATCGCTGAGGAAAGCGGGCGCCGTTGTTATGGTGGATAGGGGCGGAGAGAGGGCGTGGCGGGCACTTTATCGCTGCTTAATTACGTTACTGATAAGCCCACATTTTGGGCAGAGTTTATTCTTTCTTTTTCTATTTGTGTTTCGTACTCTTCGCTTTCATTTGGTTTTCTTTTTCATATCAAAGGTCTGCATGTGGTTCTGTTTTTTGTTCTGCCGGACAAATCTCGGCGCTTAGCTCTTGACTTTCGGAACTGCTCAGCCTAGATTTTGTTAATAAAAATTAATGGCTTCGTGATTTGTTTGGCCTTAAGTGCAAAATTTCCTTATGTGCTTAATTCTGGTTCGCCCATAGATTGTGTTTATATTGCTGCTTGTAATTTCGACCACCCAGACTGAAGGTTATACTGGAACTAGTGTTATCGCGTTATTTTTTTGTGAATTAGCTGTGATTTTTAAAGGGGAAAAATGTAGGGAAAATATTAAGTGAAGTAGAAAATCAGAAGTCTTAGGAAACATAAAAAAATTTTATTTATTCAATTTTAAAAACCCTAAAAATTCAGTAGAAATAAAAGCATTTCGTCCAGGGTATCCAGTCACTCCCCCTATCCCCCAAATTTGTTATTCTATGCAATATTTTTGTTTTTTCCTTCTCTCAAATGAGGGTTAATGGGGATAATATTGCAGATTGGCCGCTGCTTTTGGTATGCAGACAACGCCCACAGCCGATACTAATGCCGGGGCTAATTATTTATTTAGCCGCTTTAATTACTTATTTATCGATTGCGCCCAGCGCGGTGGCGTATGCGTAATATCTGGTATAACCCTCAGTGGCAGGCGAACAAACAATAAAATCGCGCGAACGCAATTCGCTTTCGGTTGCCAATGGGTTGGATAAAAGTCAACGACACAATGCCAAAAATACATATTATAACTATTTATAAATATTCCATGCGAATGATAATTGATATTGGTTTTGGTATTTTTGAAAGATGCGGGCCGTCGCCGGCAAATAATGATTTATTCAAACATCATTTCCCGCCAGCGTTGATGTGGAAAAGTTTTGGCTCCTGGTCATTGTTTATCCGCGCTGTCAGGGAACCCATTAGCCCATTCAATCATTTAATGGTTAACGCGCATAAATACCAAGTGCGAAAATATTTATTTGGCCTCATAAAACAGTGATATTGTTGCCATTATTTGCCCATAACAAAATGTTTACGCCGCCCGGGTATTTTCTAATTTCCATGTACATTTCCCACAGCCAATTTCAGCTTCCCATTTGCATGCGTGCATTTTCCCACAAAGGGTGTCCCGCATAAATAAACCGAAATGTTGTTGGGTTAATAAGCTCTGCAATGAGTTTATATGTGAGCGTTTATTTTGAAATTAGACTGGGTTTTAAAACAAATCAAATCGAGTATATCTGAACGGCTGGCTGGCATTTTCAACTCAACTCTGTTTGTTTTCGTTGGTTTGCTGGCCGGCCTTATCATTCGAATATTATCTTTACGCTTGGTTTGCCCCAAATATGCGATATTTATTTCTTCAATTAATTTAAGCGCCAGCATAATAAAAATATCTCCACTATTTGTGTGACGAATTAAAGTGGCCTGGATGGCAGTGAGAAAAAATGCTAAACTAATACCAAAAGTGTCGGCATATTGACATGAATATTTTAATTTAATCTAATATTTAAATATGGATTTGTGTTGAAAACTAAATCAAGAGACAACACTCCGAAATGCTTGTTTTCTCAGTGTATGGGTCAGTATTTGGAAATTGTCTATACAAACACGAGTGTATCCGAGTGTGGCTGATGCATGTGAAATAGCCGAAATGCCAAAACATTCTGCATGATTGATGGGCTTTATGTACAGAGATACGGATGTGAAACTTTAGGGTGGACTGCATTTGCATACATCCAGGCTTTGGGTATGCAAATTGGCTTTATTTATTAATCGAATGCATTTTGTGGTCACTGCAAATGGACGGCGCTGAAATGTTCTGGCTTGGCTCTGAATATGCAAACAGGAATTTGCACTTTTTAGGTTATGGAAAATGTTTAATTTACTCCACCGGAAGTGACTTGATAAGTTTTTCGTAGCCGACCACTCGGAAATGGTAATATTTCGGGGTAAAAAAAAAAATGTACCAGCTTCTCAGGTTTATGGCAATTTAAATTTTAAATTCTGTAATTTGTTGGTGGAACAATTTCAGCTATCTAACTGCTTGGCTATATTTGTGAATACTCCCCGCAGCGGCGAGTGTCACATAAATCTCTCGGCGAATTTAGTTTCCGATTTGCATTCGTGTGCGTCGTCAGGTCTCCTCCTCGCACATAATTCATGCAGCTCGACAAGCCACAAGCCATAAATTTAATGTATTTTTCAGCGTTGGCTTCGTCCTGAATTGTTCAGCTCCGCGCATCGTCCTCGACCTTGTTCGCTGCGTTTTGGCATCGATTTGGCTGGCAGGCTAACCGCTTCGTCGCCAATTATGCCATTGGAGTCTATTTATAGAGTAACGGGCGCAACGCCATGGGCAACTCCAATCACGCAACTCACCTGCAGCCCGAACGGGACACTTTATCCCTGCCGCCCCCTCCTTCCTCAGCCTTGCTGC